AAGACCGAGCGAGCCGTTTAGCCACCAGCCATTACACACGACTTACATAGAGATTATCGACTACTACAACGAGTCAACTCACGACGCTGCAATTCACCACGACTACATTATTTATTATTGATTTTAATAAATTACAATTGATTTATATTTAAATTGACTACATTTTATTGTAAAAGTGCAACAAGCTTTTGGATCCCTGAAGGGCCGCATGTAACACCATGATCTACATTCAGATTTCCCTTTAGCACCAGAAAGACATTTTGATAACAAACAACTTCCAAAATTATTAACAACTTTGTATGATAAGAAAAAATATATAATACATTATGAAACACTAAAATTATATATTAATTTAGGTTTAAAGATAGAGAAAATTCATAGAGTATTAGAATTTAGTCAATCTCCTTGGTTAAAAGTTTATATTGATTTTAATACTAATCTTAGATCAGAAGCTAAGAATGAGTTTGAAAAAGAATTTTTCAAATTAATGAATAATAGTGTTTATGGACGTACTATGATGAATGTTCGAAATCATGTTGATATAAAATTATGTTCTAATGCAGCCCAACTAGAAAAATTAATTACAAAACCAAATTTTGATCGAAGGACAATTTTTACAGAAAATTTAGCTGCCGTACATATGAAAAGAACACAAATATCTTTCAAACAACCAATATATGTAGGAATGTGTATTTTACATTTATCTAAAATGTTAATGTATGATTTTTATTATAATATTATAAAGAAAAAATATGTAAATAGAGTTAGATTGTTATATACAGATACAGATTCACTAATATTAGAAATAAAAACTAAAGATTTTTATCAAGATGTGAAAATTATGTTAGATCATTTTGACACTTCAGATTATCCAAAAGATAATATTTATGGTTTACCTTTAGTTAACAAAAAAGTTTTAGGCAAGTTTAATGATGAGTTAAATGGAAAAATAATGACTGAATTTATAGGTTTAAGATCTAAATTATATTCTCATCGAATCTTAGATACTGAAAAAGAAATTAAAAAAGCTAAAGGTGTTAAAAAAAAATGTTGTAGAAAATAAAATATGTTTTAATGATTTTGAAAAATGTTTACTAACAAAAGAATCAAAATATGTTAAACAAAATTTATTTAGAACTAAGAAACATGATATTTTTACTGTAGAACAAAACAAAAAAGCTTTAAGTGTTTATGATGATAAAAGATTTATTTTGGAAAATGGTATTGATACATTAGCTTGGGGACATTATAAAACAAACATAGATAGAAACGATTTTGTAAACCATCTCAATACACTGATTAGAAATCAAAATCAAAAAGATTAGAAAAATATTTTTAATAGAACAATGTTAAAAAAATTTTTTTACTAATATAAATAATAGAAATGGAAAATTGTAAAAAACTTTTAGAAATGGAAACTTGTAAAAATCATTTAGATATGATCCAAAAGTATAAAAATAAACTAAAAGAGTTATCAGAAATTGAATCATCTATGTATAGTTTAGAAACTCATGTATCATCTTTATATCAATCTTATGATAATAAGTATAGTTACAAGCGTTACCAATCTTATGATAATAAGTATAGTTACAATCGTTACCAAAAAAATTTTAAAAAATTATTTGGTTATTTTAAGGAAATTCATAATGAATTAGCGAATTATATAATGAATAATTGGTTTCATAACTATATTTAATGTTCACTAGTTTGTTGTTAGAGTTTTTTAATAGAACAATTCACTTATGTGCCACCGTCACCACCTGCTGAGCTCATCGAAACAACAAGCTACACACTCGACTTTGCTTCCCGTAAGTTTGTGCACATCGGTATTGACCCGACTGAAAAATTCAAAATTGTGTTACACATTATAACATCATCGCGTTACGTGCATATTACTCCGGATTGTTTAAAAACAATATTTTCGTATATGGGGCGTATCTTTTCTACTGAACCGCAAACGTATAAGAGAATAATATTTTATGAAGACTTGAAGATAAAACTATCGAATATGATGTATAGCTGAGAAAACGTGTTAGTGATAGAATCAAAAACTCGAGATAGGTGCAGAGTACTGCTGAATATGGTGGACCTTATGCGTCTTCAATATCTTGAATGTTGTATTTTCGAAAGTATTATCCGGAAAGAATTATTCACCGCACCATTAATTATAAAACAGTATGAGGAGTTCGCGACTTACGTAGATGAGAAATGTGCCCGTCATAAATCGCCACCGAAAAATATCGAAGAGATGAGGATATTCATTCAAAACATGCAAGACGAGCGAACGGTTGAATCTTCACCGAACTTCACTAGTCAAATACAAATGTATGCAGCTGTACAACTAGCAGAATCTTTACTAAATCTGGAAGCATACAACTCACATGAGGTAATTGACGGGCCATGGATACCGGATCAATTCAGGACACCATCACCATTTCAAACGACTTACGCTCAACACCCAACACCAATTCGCCTTGTACAACGTCAATTATTTTAATATTTATAGGAAATTAACTAATTTATGTGAAATAAAAAAAAACATGATTTATAAAAAGTATTTTCATTTATTAAAATAATATTAAGGTTTACAAAAAATATTTACAAGGTTCTCACTTCACCAATAAATGGATTATAAGTTATAATTTAGTCATGTAATATTAAGCAATATGCTGAAGTTGAAGCTGGGAACGCTTCTTCTGCTTCTATTTCAATCCTGAGGTCGACGGTTGATGTTTTCACGTTATCGTTCTGTCTGCTCATGTCAACAACTATAATTGGAGACAGATTTTTGAAATCTACTCGATTCAACAGAGGTTTCACATCTTAATGTCCGTAGTAAGATTTCTGGAACTCAGCATACGCGTGATATAATGTCGCCATCTTGTTCTTGGTAAAGTCACTTTGAAAATCTTCATAGGGAAATACTTCAGCGTTTAAATAGACTTTTAGGTTTTTAATTTTACAATGGTCGAAGTATGACATTGATTTAGTCGAGCTATTTTTCCTATTGGTTTGAAATCCGATTATTACATAACGAGGTTTTTCTAATTTGTTGGATGTCTTCACTTTCCACGAATGCGAAGTGTTTTGAGGTAAAAATGGATATTCACACAGTTCCCACGATCTAAACGCACATGTCAGGGGTTTCTGATTGTTGATTACTTTCAACAGTCTAATTTTTTCTCTGTCACTAACTCTCACTATAGGCATCCGCCACAATATTTTTGTTATGTTTATTTTAACGACTTTTAGTTTAGGAGCGTCTGCGACAACTTCATTATCTTTATATTGCTTGACAGCATTTATATCGAGCGATGCTTTATTCAATACAAGTTGCTGATTACAGTTTATTAAAATTCGCTTATAATCTTCACAAAAACCAAACAAATCTTTAAGATTAATACATCCGTTAAAATTGCCGCTCTCGATAAAATCTTTATTACAATTTTTAATATCACTATCCCAAGCAGCGTTATGGTGCGATGAAATATTTGTTTTATTATACGAGCAATATCCTTTTAATGTGGTCGATATACCCGGATTGACGAGTTTCTGAATTTGAGTACCGTTTATTTCGTATTTCATTTCAGAGAAAAGAAATGCCAGTCCGTTGTTTATGAATCTAATCTCGTCAGTTATTTCCGTAGGTTTGGTTATTGTCCCTTCGATGTAAATATAACTCTCACATGGTAAAGTATAAGACTCTGTGTTATGCAGAGCAATACGCACCTCGTCGTTATTAGAAAGAGCAGATGTTGAATACGGTAAAAAAGAATGATAGTCAATTTGAGTTATTTTACAATCGTCGGTTTATCCAGCCGTTACATCTAAATACAAATCGTCCATATTAAATAGCGTTCAGCGAGCGTAGAAAAGCCAAATTATCTGCTGTTAGACTATGATCAACCTGTTTACGTCTCGAATATTTCTTCTTCTTCGAAGATGTTACCTTGCTAGTGTTTTTAATACGAGTGACAGGTTTTACATACGCAGTCCTATTTATATTACAAAATTGCAGACCCATTGTTTATCACAAGTCTTGAATTAATAATCGTATCGATACTGGCTCGCCTCGTAGATCGATCAACTCGTTGTCTTGATTTTTTAAAATTATACACTGAAAAAAAAAATTGTTCTACTAACAAAAATATGGTTACCATAACTGTTAAAAGTAGCTGGCTCAGGGACAGCAGTAATTTTAGTTGTATGTACAAATCAATTCTGGTTGGCTGTTACTAGTTGTAACAGTAATATTGTTTGTTGTTGTAACTAAACTTTATTTGTAATGCATACAGCAATTATATACTCTCAACAAAATACCATTATGTAATCATAACAGAAAATATTACAATGTTTGTTGGTAGATCAGAATACTTTTTTAAACCTAGCAAATTTTATGTTCTATTATTGTTAAGAGAACATTTCTTGTGTCTTAGAAGTAGCTAACTATTTTTGTATGATTACAAGATTCTTATGTTAAATTCATAGAGCACTAGGTTAGGCTCACCATAATTAATTTGTTAAATTAATAGCGCACTAGGTTAGGCTAACCATAATTAGTTTGTTAAAATAACCAAACAGAACCGCTACTTGTGCAAAATATATTATATTTTTTGGTTGTAGTTACTGAATATCATAGATGCTCATAGGGGGTGATTGGGGGGGCTTAGTACCCCCAGGCTCCTCCAGATTTTTACCACCAATTTTTCTAATTAATTTATTTCACCAATAATTTGTAAATTACTGAGGTTTATTGGTTTGGATACATCATAATATGAACTATAAGTAAAATAATAAAATTAGCACCACCTAATATTTCACACCAATGTGCGCTAAACATACAATTTATAGAATTACATTTTTGCAAAAATTCAACACCATTATTTTGATAAGAAGTAAATTTTTTTGATACAAATAAATGTTTACAAATTACATAATCAATTTATTATATTTTAATAATTTATGATTAAAACTAAAATAGTTTCATGTATAAGTTTAAATTACAAAGGGCTTCTTACAGTTACAAATTTGGTTCCATCTGGAGTAACATTTAAATTATTTGGGATAGGAGATACCAGGGAATCTTGAAAAATGAAACAATTATTATTTGTTTCTGGAAATATCACTTCATATGAATAGACATGTTCATTAAATCCTACCATTAAAAAAGAATTGCATTCAAAAATTATTCTATCAGAATCATAAAGAAAAATATTGTTCACAGAAATAAATTTATAATTATTATCTTCCAAAATATCTTGGGTTAATATATGTTTTATTTTATAACGTATACCTTCAATTGTTGCCCAACTAACACAAAATAAAGATTTATCAAGATCAAGATTGAGTTCGTTTTTTATTGCATGAGATTTCATTGGACATAATGACTTACAAGGACCTACAACTACATTTGAACATAATTTACCCTTGCCAAATATATCATTTAGCTGTAACTGATGTTTGATTGCTAAAGTTAAGCATATATTACGTCGATTGAAAGATGATCTAGCCGCAATTTTAGAGATCCTATGTTTGGCTTCAAAACGCATAGACCAAAAATTACCTACAGGACCAAATTTTTTAATCAGTGATGGGTAATGAAGTAAAAAATGAAATTTAGGTTTAAGAGATTTTTTACTATATTTCAAATAAAGCTCGTTTAATTCTTCAACTAAAGTTTTTAGTAAGAAAGTACTTTGTTCTTCAACTAGTGATGACAACATAATATCTATAACTTTACGCAAAAGTATATACAGGGCCCATACTGGTTCTTCTGCAGGTATAAAATCACCAATAATTAAACCAAAATACCTAACTAATATTAGCATTTCAGAAGCAGATTGACGAACATTCCCTTGACTAACATGTTCCATAGTTAAAGCACAAGGTTTATTACGCTCAGGTCCAAAATCAAAACCAAAAAGCCTTTCATTGAACACTTGTAGGGAAAATAGTTTCAATTCATTAATATAGTAGTATATAATAAAACCCATTATATACTTGGCACAACCTTCAAGTACATCGTGCATTACATCAACTCCGACTTGATCATATAGACTAAAATTGTTGACATCTAACCAAACACACTTTTCTTTAATTCCAGTAGTACTTACATTATTCTTATTTAAATTAATATAATACTGGTCAATTGTTCTGAGGAGAGATTCATCTTCATAGCATTGAACTCTCAAGTTTTCTTTTCTTATATTGCAAATTCGACAAGGAAAATTATAAGAAAAACTTTCTACAAAACCAATAATGGAATGAAGCCCTAAGTTGTCTCCTAAAATTAGACCTAAGTCAAAGTATAATGTACCTTTAAATACTGAAGTATCAATTTCTATACCAACATTTTGCAAAAAGTTTAATTCGTCAATCACAGGTTTAAAAATTACGTTATTTCCAAACTCTACTCTATCAGAAGAATGAAAAAGTAATGTAAGACAAATATTAGACAACATTGAAGAACGGTATAATGGTATGCATGGAAGAGATACATAAACTGCTCCTAACTTGTGAATTCCGGAATGACTACCGAGAACATTTCCACTCTCAAAATCATCAAAAAATAAAAATAGTGGCAAGACAGTCTTTCCTTCAAATTTCTTAATTCTACTCTGCCAAAAAGTACCTTGAATAAAATTCCCTAAGACACTTTTGTTACTCATTAAATTCGTCATGTTTTCTAAAGTTTCACCAAGAATATTTTCAAGTGAAAAAAATTGTTTCAACACTTTGCTTAATGGTATAAATAGATGGCAGTCTACAGATGCTATTATAGAGTTTAATCGGTAGAATGTTATCCACAACAACCAAATATGATGAAATTTCTTTTAAACTGTGACCAACTATAATAACAAAGGGTTGTAATGTCTGGCCAAATTCAATCAACTTGCTTCTTCTTCTTGTAATAGTTTCTTGGATTTCAGAATCACTACGCACGTGAGTTATAAAACCATCCCTCACTTCGATTTTTGAAGGTCTCCAAATTTTTGACTTCTTGCTTCTTGTGCTGGAAACACTTATGAGGAATGAGAGACTTAAAAGTGTGATAATATTAGAGATTTCCTCGTTTTCTAAAAATTAACAAAATAGACAAGATTATTAACATAATAAATAAAAAAAAAAGCTTTTCATAAATTTGTAATAGATATGGACAATACTTTTTTATTTTATTCAATATCCTAATATAACTTTGTTTCACTATACAATTGTGGTTAGGTTAATATGTTTTATTAATAATTAGCTTATTTGAAATTGAATATTTTATTTCTAAATAATATGTACTATTATAATCTTTTAAATCTAAAATGGTGCCTTGACACCATTTGATTATAATAAGAAAGTTTTAAAAATTGTAACTTAATTGGCAATAAATAAATTGGAATAGTTGGCTAAGAACCATTTGGTACCTAGTAAATTAAATGCATTTATATTTTAAGAGGTTAATTTGTAGGTACCTCGTACCTACTATTTTACATAGGTACAGTACATAAATAAAAATATCTACATAATTCATTATAATAGTAACCATGTTAACATGTTATCAGTTGCAGCCTTATAAGCACATGTGATATGCCCATACAGTTTGTGGCCCCCTCACCCTTAAATATGATTTAGATCCACAGTTGGCTTCAACAAATATAAGAGAAATAAAATGAGTATTGAGTATCAATATAGAATTTTGTGGTCCAACCAATTTTTGCGTAGTATGTATAGTAAAAAATTTAAAAAAATAATCTCAACTAACCTTCAAGATATAGTTTTATATATTTGTTCAAAATGTTATTCACAGTTTCATCTCTTGTTTTATTCACTTTAGCTCTAAGCAACTCAAAAATATTATTTTTGTAAATGATCAGGTTTTGATACAATTTATTTTCTTTGCCTGGATAAGACACTTGGAAATCTTTTAAAATCTGTAAAAAAAAAATAAGTAAAGTTAATTAAATAAGTTTTTTTTTTATTGATTTTATAAGATGGCTTCAATTAAACTTACAAGTAGATAGCCTGATGGTTTCTTAAGAGCTGGATATTCTTCCATATACTTTGCAATTGACTGACCATTTTTTGACATCAGCTTCTTTAAGCGTACATTAGTGGTTATATCCCAATTCTTTTCCACTAATTCCCATGGGTCACTGGAATTTTGTAACCATTTCAACCCTTCCTCTACAGATGAATGTAATTCTTCATCTTCCTCCTCAACAGAGTGTTGGAGTCCTTTTGACAAGGAAAAAGAACTACTAGAAGAAGAGGATGTCGAACTTCTTCTTGATGTTTGTATTAACCCAGACTTTCGATATTCTCTTCTCCTGTTATTTAGGCAGTCTAGTAGTTTTCCTTTGGCCGATCTTCTCAGTCCAGGACCGTATGAAATATAAGGAATAAAGTAGGTGGGTGTACGCTCTTGGTGAAAAACTGAGGTTATTTGATAGGCCAGGTCTTGAAGTCTTGTAGATAAAACACGCTTCTGTGCATCATCTTTAAGTTCTCTATTTATAATAAGATTACAGAGACGTATACGGCCTACACTATCTAGTAGTCCACTTTGTCCAAAACTAGCTAATAATGACTTCCCTTCGTTTGTACTTTTGAGCAAGTTGTGTACATCATCCTAATTAAAATCATATATTACTTAGTAGGTATCAACAATTTAAAAAAAAGGTTAAAATGGTTTTAAAGTATCTCCTAAAAATAAAATAAGTGTAAATCAGTATGTAGGGTTAGATGGGGTTAGTGCGTCATTGGGGTAAATACCTACTTCATTTAAATATATAAGTATAATAACAGATAGGTAGTTATATTGTAGCAGACATAACTTAAATATTGTACGATAATATTGCATGATAATGTAAAAATATGATACTTATAGCGAGATCATAAACCTACAATTTAAGCTTGAAAACATAATATAAGTTGAACTTTTTTTAGTGACGCACTTTCCCTTCCCCTAACTTTATTGGTTATTTTATATTTTTATGATCACATATTATATAGGAAACAGCCTGTGTTAATAAATAATATTATAACAAACGTTGAAATAAAATGTAAAATGTTTAATGTATTTACATTTGTTGGTGATTGCAGTGAACTTGGTACTTCTTTTGACTGTTGTTCACTTTGTTGCACTACTCCAAAATCGTCCAGATTTATTAAAATATGATTCTCAGCTGACAAAGTAGTTGACGTTAGTGTAGGCTAAATTCAAATTTTACTTTAAAAGAATATATTTTAATACAGAGGTATGAAATTATTTTAATTTACCTTTAAGTTGGTATGTTCTTCACTTGAATTTTGATTTAGCTCTGTTTCAAACTAAATAAAAAGAAAATGATTAAGAAAAGAAAAAAAAATAAGTTTAATTATATATTTTTTAGTGATATATCTATTGTGAAATTAAATAATATTCAAATAACTAAATAGGTAAGTACTTTAAAATAAAAATATATGATACACATAGGTATATCATGATACATTATACACAAACAAATAATAATTAGACTTATATTGGACTTTACATTAATTTCTGAGGATCCTGTCATTCCTTGTATAATTAATCTCCATTGATCAATATTAGTTTTCAATTTAGCTCGATGACCAATAATGGGTACCAACTCTCTTATCATATCATCACTTAGCAATCCTAATGTCTTAATATCTATTTCATTTTCTATAAAATAACATAATAAATAAATAAATACCTAACTAAATTCAGTTCATCCATCAGTAGAACAACATTAACATTTAAATTAAAGGTTAAGTATTAGTAAGTATGAATTACAAATTGGTTATGAATAGAGAGCGGATTTTTAGTTTCTTAAAATATGATCTTACCTATATGTTCAAAAAAACATAATACGCTTCAAAAAAGATTTAGTGAATTAAACATATTTTTTAATAAATATGGAAAAGATGTAAAAAATATGAGAAAAATATATTACAATATAAACATATCAAAGTTAAATTTGAAATCAAATAATATCAGAAAATACCTATTGTATTGTTTTTAAGGTATATTTCTAATAAACTTATATGAAAAAAAGGTGGGCAAGTGGGTATCGCTCTGCTGTACAGTAGGTTACAAGTGAGTCACTGTATAATGAATGATATTAAATTTGAATTCAACGATATAATATCATTGTATAAGAAAAACGATTCTGAGAGGAGACGGTATGTCAGTCTAGGTATAAGACATATTATATACATTATAGATACATATCTATAAAACTAAACCAAAATTTGACCTATAATAGGTAGGTACCTATAATAAATTCCAAAATTAATCATATCACAATATCCATTAGGTTCTTATAACGCGTTATACATCAACAAAAACCGTGATACTATCATAGATGTATAATAGTACACTTTAGAAGTTTCAAGTACCCACGAATAATATTATTCAATCACAACAAAATAACTAAAATAGTTATTCTAGGTTTTTTAATATGTAATTTCGTCCAAATTTGAATTTAAAATGTCTGTAAAAAATAACTGTGATCATATATTTTTTATATTTTTCGGTTACAGTATGAACTATTTATGAGAATCTTTGTTTTAAATTTGCAATCCTTAGCTATAAAAACTGAACATTTTATAATTTATTAATTACAATGATTGATAATTTTCGAGATTTTGAAAAATTCTGTCAAAAATCGATGTTTAAATGCTTATAAAAAAAAAAATGTGCCTACGTATTTTTAATATTTTTCAACTGATATTGTAACAATATATCAGGAGCCTTGTATTAAATTTTTACACTTTTTGGCCCAACAGATAAAACCTTATTGATGTTTATAGAAAAAAAAAACTAAAAAAATTGAAAACTGAAAATGTCCGTAAACAGCTCAAAAAGAGTCGAAATATTTTCAAAATTGTACAGTGTATAGGAAATGCTAATCTGAACATTCAGTGAAATTTTCATGTATCTATAGTTATTCATTTTTAAATTACAACAAAATAAGAAAATCGCTACATGAGAAATCAAGTGAATATCCAATGTTGTAAAAATTTGAATTTCAAACGCTCATAAAAATTTAATTTGACTTTCCGGTAGAGATTTTTTTATTGATAAAGGTTGTCTACCTTATGAGTAATCTTGTATTAGATTTTGAAATTTTAGATTTAAAAAGAAAAATTTTTACGAATTCTTAACTCAAAATAATTTGCTAATTTTCGTGATTTTTCCATATTTTGTCAATTTTTGAACTTTAAATGCTTAAAAAAAAAAAACTGTGACTAACGATTTTTAATATTTTTCATCTGTCTTTGAAACAATATAGTAGGAGCCTTGTATTAAATTTTCAAGTATTTTTACTCAACAAATAAATTTTTATTGATATTCATAAAAAAAAAAACTAATAAAATTGGAAACTGAAAATGTCCCTAAACAGTTCAAAATAAATCAAAATATTTTGAAAATGTTATCGTGTACAGAAAATGCAATTATAAACAACCAGTGAAAATGTCATGTATCTACGGTCATTTGTTTTAAAGTTACACCAAAAACCAAAATCGATTTTCTCGAAAATAGATTTTGCGTAAAAATTCCCGTTATTCCTCAATTTTTCTTTTGTTTTTCCCGGCGCTTTTGAAAACTACTATGAAATTTAAATTTTGACCTCCCCAATGCACCAACGATATTCACTTTCCAATCGAACAAGATACTGAAGTTGAAAATCGAAGCATTATTTCGACTACTTATCGTGTACACAGACACAAAAAAAATAAAAAAAAATAAATAAACACACATCATTGTAAAATCAATACATTCATCGTTCCACTCAGAATCTAAAACTGTGGCATTATTTGAGGGCCCCACCCTAGATTTTAATAGGCTGGTAAAATATTTAAAATGTTTGACTTTTGGTAAGACTACAGGGCCAGATGAAGAAAAAAATAACATTTTTAAGGTCAAATAGATGCCTATCTCGTCAGAGTCCATGGCATTAATGTTTATTTAATTGTTACAATTGTAACAACGCAAAAAACGTAGGTTTAGTTTTGTCTGTAAATGTCTACTTAAGCTAGGTAGGTATAATTTAAATAAAAGGTACGTAAATAGGTAGTTTTAAATGTTTTGAGACTCACCTCGAAATATTTGAATATATTGTGAGAGATCCCAAGCATTTAGAAAATCCACGACATCTTCGTCTGCCATACTTAGGTCTTAAATATTGACTATGTATTTATAATGAAAGATGTAACACTATATAGACTATAGACAAGTCACAAGTATAGTAACTAGTAAATGCACTAAATAATAACGTATAAAAACCAAAAACTGAAAGAGTAAAACTGTAAAAGACAACAGTTGTTAAATACAGTTAGATACGAATAAGCAAAGCTACAAACGATTTCGGCGGCGAACTGTGGAAATGCGGAATGGATATAAGTGTGTGTGTGTGACACGTGTATCCCCACGAATTCCCCTGGAATTCCCATAATATTATACCGTTATCGCTACTCTAATTGTGGATATTGTATACTTTACTAAATAGTTGTTGAGATTACAGTAATATCACAAATATCTGTTGTAGTTACATTAACTAAAATAATTGTAACAAATCTTTTTGGCTGCCTGTAACAATACATTTTAGTTGTACTTAACAAACACTTTTTGCAAGGACTAAAATACTATTTGTTTGCGAGCACCGTTTAATTCTTGCTGCGTTTAAATTTTTATACTTGGAGAAACATTATAAACCGTTAGAATTTCATTCTTGCAGTAGATGCAAAATATATCATTACTATTACATAGTAATTAGTGTATACAACATAACACTAAATAACAAGAATAAATTAATACTTGTAACAAAACGTTTGGTTGGATATATAAAATACTATAGCTTGTATTACGGTATTAGGGTTATTGCAACAATTTATCATTTAACAGATCAATTTTGTTGACAAAACCACTCCGATTTTTTTCAGTGTACTCGCGTGCGTTATAGATGTAGAATTAATTGGGTAAAATACCAAATGTGTTGGAACCTCTATTATTTTATAACCTGGAGGTAAATTCGGGTAAAACTCGTGTATTGTATAGCACTGCTTACCGTTAACGAATGAACCCATAACCAGATTTGAGTCGATATATATACAGTTTGTTTTAGTAATATTGACCAACGCATCTGATTCGTGATTGACATTAGCATCATACTTACGATTTTTAAACCCTAACAATTTTCCTATACCATTAGACATGGAAAAATCAACAGTTTCGCTACAAAACATTGTGCATTTTAATGTACTATTATCTGCTCTCAACACGAATAAAGTATCTGAATTAGGTAATACACGTATTATTGCCGCTTCGATTTCCTTCAACTCATAAGATCCAGGGGGTATTGTATAGCTTTCGCTTGTACGCTTACCTGAGATATTATTTGTGATTCCTATTCTATTGCATTTCTCGTTTACAATAGGTATAGAAATATTTGTTTGAAAATCCAGCAGACAGATTTTCGCATTTTTACTGACTTCTATAGGTGGAAAAAAGTCGCATGACAATTCACTCGAGTTGCCCGTTAACGTTATAGTGTACATGATAAAAATTGTAAGCACAAGTGACCACAGTTTGTTGTATTATATTTTTGATGTCTATCGTAATTATATTCGATACTGCACCCGTTGAAATATTTCTGTAATTCCAGAGGAGGGGCTAGGTTTCCATAGCTGTCAAAATATTTGACTTGTTTTCCGATTTTCTTATACTCTACCCAATGAGTTCCTGTACCGATTTCAGTATCTAAATTAATTAAAGCTGACTCTTGATTTTTCGTTCGTTGAGGCAACTTGTCTCTACAAAATACACCGATGAAATGAGGTATCTTCAACTTGTTTGCGTATTTTATAACCTCATAATCGAACAACGCTCTATCGGGTAACGTAACAATTAGTTTTTTGAAGATTATCTAGATTTCTTGACTGAACCACCCTTGTGTGGTTTTCTAGACTTCTTAACTGATCCGCCCTTGTATGGTGCTAGGTATAAGCCTTTACCTTTAACGATTTTATAAGAACTACCCTTGTGAGGAGTAAGATATAATCCTTTGCCTAAATGAATAGGAGAGTTATTTCCAGAATTTAATTCTTTCACGACTTTTACTATATTACCTACTCCACCGGTAAGCGCGCCTAATGCTGATAAACCAGCAAAAATAGGTATTAATGGTAAGACACCTCCCCTTTTCGGTATTGGTATAATTCTTGGAGTTTTAGTCTTCTTGTTTGTAGATTTTTTAGATTTTTTTGCAGCTGACAGACATGTTTTTACTAATTTAGTTATATTTTTTTCGTTCATTTTGTTTTTGATCGAATTCTTAGCAGCCAAAACCATTTGTTTAAATCCGCAACCCGCTCCCATCTTACGTTTGACCTTCATGGCTGTAGTGACTAACCAACCGCTTTTTCCTTGATACCTGTGTTTTTAGATTTAAACACTTCCCAAGCCTGATTTTCTAATACTTCGTCCGCTCTGTGTCTATCGGTTAGTGAATTACTTTCTTCGTATGCGATATCGTGGGCTCTGGCCAACTCGTCAAGACGGTTTATCCCGCGTTCTCCACGCGCTAGTCTTTCTTTTAATTTGGTTCCAGGACCGGCAAATCTATAACAAATATATATATAAAATGTAGACAGGATTTAATAACAATAATATTATGTAACGACTTACCTATAGCCTGGTAAATGCAATTCCACAGGTAAATGATTTATAACAGAGTTAATAAGACCCGATCCTTTATTGTTGTTTCGCTTACGAACGCGAGACATCGTGTGACGCTTTCGATAACATTGCATCTGTATTTATAGTGAAAAATTAAAAAAAAAAAAAATGCGCTTTATTGAACAAGAGAAAAAACTTCGGATTTATAACATTGATACCCCCGAGACAATTCAGCTGAGACACGGTGAACTTTTCCCAAATACGATAAGGTCGTTGGTACTTGGTAGCTCTGGATGTGGTAAAACCAATCTGATGTATTTTCTACTCGTCGATGAAAACGGTTTGCAATTTGAAAACGTTTACATATACTCTAAGACCTTAGAACAACCAAAATATAAATTACTGAAACGTATTATTGACGGTATTGATGGTATCAATATTTTTACCTTTTTCGAGAATGATAAAGTAATTCCACCCGAGAAAGTTTTACCGAACTCAATTTTTATCTTGGATGATGTTATCGGCGAACAACAAAATGTAATAAGAGATTATTTTTCTCGAGGTCGCCACAATAAAATTGATATATTTTATCTGGCTCAGAGTAATTCAAAAGTACCTAAGCAGCTGATACGTGATAATGCAAATTTAATAGTATTGTTCAAACAAGATGAAACTAATTTAAAACATATATATCAAGAGCACTGTTCAGGGGACATGACATATATACAATTTAAAAATGTTTGTATGACATATTGGAACCGTGAGATGTTTACATTTATTGTTATTTGTAAAGACTGTGAGCGTGATAACGGACGTTATCGTTTTGGGTTTGATACTTATGTGGTTATATAAGGCGATACAATTGATAAATATTATCATTTAAAACGCAGTCATGACGGAAGCAACTACTGTTCTAGACGAGCTTTTCAAAGCTAAGGAAAGTATTAAACGCAAATATATCGCATTAAAAACCGGCTCGGATAATGTTCAACAATTAATGACACAGACATTAAAACCAATTATCGATCCATTAACTAAAACATCGAATAAACCTGGGCTGACATCAAACAAAGAAAATATTAACGTCAGGTCGAAAAACTCATTTGCGGACGACTATCAACAGGAAATTGAAAATTGGCTTCAGTCTACAGACTTGGATAAAATATACGGTCTCAAAACTTTTACAACTCGATAACGGTAAAGAATTTTATAACACCACTTTCGACGCTTTGATGACCAAGCACGGCATACACAAATATTCAACTTTCAGTATTCTAAAGGCTAGCATCGTGGAGAGGTTCAATCGAACTCTGAAACAAAAGATGTATAGGGAATTCACTGCAAGAGTATCACACGAATGGGTTTCAATTTTACCAAAGTTGCTCGACGAATACAATAATTCTCGTCATCGTACTATATCGATGTCACCAGTAGAAGCAGATTCCGACCCCGCCTCAGTGGTAATAAAACAGCGTAAAATTAACAATGAAAAAATTAAATTCAAAGTCGGTGATAAAGTTCGTATAAGTACACAGAAAGGCGTATTTACAAAAGGTTATTTACCAAACTGGTCTACGGAAATATTCGAGATTATCAAAATAAATAAAACATTGCCCGCTACTTATCAGTTGCAAGATTATATGAGTAAGCTTATTGTCGGTTGTTTTTATTCTTCGGAAATAAGCAAGACCGATTTCCCAAACGAATATTTAATCGAGAAAATTATTCGCAAGACGGGCGATCAAATGTACGTCAAGTGGCTAGGATTCGATAATACACATAATAGTTGGATAAATACACGTGATGTTAAAAAATAGTGTCAGTCGTTTTATAACCATGAACGTGTTTGGTAGTTCTCAGGCGAGTGATACTAGGAGAATTATTTCAGATATTCAGTCAAGTAACAAAACGATACTAAATGATGTGAAACTCCAACAGAAAGAAATCGATACTTTGAAAAGTAATATTGTTAATCTACATGTAAAGATACAATTGCTTGAAAATAATATACAAACAAGTAATAAGTCTTTATTAAATTGTGAAAATCGTATGTCGCAGCTATTTAATGACTGTGCTGACAATAGTACAGCGATTGCTATCCAGGGACTTGACGTGGCCCAATTAAAAGCTAAAATAAATCGTATAACTGGAATATTCGATGAATATTCATTACCAAATCATGGAACATATATTTCAGAATTAAACTCACGTTTGGAGATCATTGAAGGCAAAAATATCAAGAAAACTTAATTTTATTTAATATACTTACTAAATAGTTAAATATATGAAAAATTGAAGTACAATTTCAGTCGAAATGTATACTCCATTGTGTACGGTAGTCCTCTGTCAGTGATGTAAATATTTACAATAATTTAATAAAACCTGTAATTATGTCGTCGGCTATCGTAGAGGTCCAATGCATTCTTGGAGCAAAAAATAAATATTTTATTAAAGAAATGTCTATAGTCGACACAGCAACGTGGGCAACTCAA